TTATAAAATCTAATTTGATGCAATTAAGGCATGACAAAATTGAAAGATTACTAGAGAATGGACTACGTCTTTCTATATATTGTAATGACCTCTTCTTTCAAAGATATTACTTTGACTTTATACTAGACCTAAATTCACAGAAAAAGCTTCTGAGATTGGCTATACTATCACTACTTCTAGGGTGACTGATTCCTCCCAGTTTGTTCAGGATTTTCCAGGTTTTAGCAGTGAAACTCCCACATGCAAGGAAACCCCAAGCCAGGAAAATCCAGATGGTCACCCTACTTATTTCCAAGAGTTACTTATTTATCTTCAGACTAGCTTTAGCTGACATCGTGAAAATACAGGTTATATTGTACAAGTATACTATACACGTCAGAATAAGTTTAATCACATTACAAATAAGACATGCCAACTAAGAAAAAATAATGAGTTTCCTTCATTTAAAATCAAAATTATAGGAAGTTGTAATTCAAAGGAAAATATATTCGTTTTCAACTAAATGTGTTTAAGGAGGATTTTCAATATCTTAGTCATAAAGCAAACTTTTCTATGGAAGAAACAAGATGATAAATTATCTCTCCTGTTGTCGCTGGCCATTATGGGTATATGGGTATAAAAATGTCCATATGAACCTTTAGAGCCTCCTAAGAAATACTCTTAATTTAAAATGTAGCTGAGCAAAACCATGAGTTCATACACTGTTAGAGCTGAAAGAAAGTTGAACTGAGAATTTTTTAAGCTGTGTTAAGACACTGGATGTAAATAACAATGACCATTTTTTCGTGATTCACAACATTCTTGAAGTAAAAAATACATGTAAGAAACTTTGATTTACTAAATCAATATGTTCTCAAAAAAAGAAAAACAAACCAAAAAAACACCTAAGGATAAAGTCAATTAAAATGATATTGAAAAAAATAAATAAATACCTTTTGCTTCTGATACCTCTTGTTTCTGATACAACTAAAAGAAAAATAATAGCTCTTTTGCTTCTGATACAATTTATGTATGCAGAGCTCTTTGGAATTCTAACCTAGAATTCTTAGCTCATAATTAGAAGATTTATATTATACTTATATGTTTCACCTACAAAAATTAAGAGTTAATATAGATAACAGGGAAAAGAAACTTTCAAGCTATTAAAATGATTTTCAAAGATATGGCTATAAAGTAAATGTGTGTGTGTATATGTATGCTACATATTAATATATCACAATCTTGTACTACCTAGCATTTCCTCATTCCTCTTTAAGCTTTTAACAATCTTTCCTTCTTAACAGAAAAGTAATCTATTTCCCAAATTAAAAAATATTCTGTACTAAATTTTTTCTGAAACTCTTACATAAATAACTTATATTACAAAACTGTACAGAACTACAACACAATATGTTTAAAGATGTGATGAACGGCACATTTAAAAGGAGGTCAAATCTGACCTGTGGGCCATGAAGCACTGCATTAACAGCTCTGCCAAAAGAAAAATGATAAGGTATGAAATGAGGCTCAGAAACTAAGACCTTATCAGTTAGAGTATGATTCAAGCCTGTAAGACAAATTGCTCAGCAAGGTAAGTCACCTTCCTGCTGTGATGAGGATATGGCTGAATTTCCAATGCCACTCACTATCTCCCTCATCATGTCGCCTAGACTTGATAGCATACAGTCAAGGAATGGCTTATAGTTCTGAAGCATCTGCTACTTATTTTGAATACATTTTGTCAAAGTCACCAACTAGGATAATTATCTTTGTCCTTTAACTGGCAACTCAGTGTTAGAAATAAAAACCTTCAAAGGATAGTCACTAGTAGGAACAATTGTCTGTTGACATTTCATTAACAAAGAATCATGATTCTATCTCAGGTTTTTAATAAGTAAACTAGTTTTGTTAATTTGCATCATTTTATGTTTGCTTGGTTGTTATAAATAAAATCTGTAACATAAAAAATTTAGCAAAGCCCACAAACTGTCGCATTTGAAATGCATACCTGAACATTGATGGACTTTTTCAGCAGTTCTTCTACAAAGCTCCAATTTGATTCCATATGTCTCTAGGAAGGGAGAAAATATTATTTTATCAAAATTATAAGTTAAAATTATGGTATAGCAAGCTAAGTGTAAAGTAGAAACATTTTTGTCCATCATCAGATATCATCACAACTTCTTGAATGTCTAAAATTACTTTAGCAAAGAGTTGCTAAGACTTCATAGAAAAAAATTCCCAACTATCACAATCTAACATAAGTCTCATCAAGAGTTGTTTCATTAGAGTGGTACTTCTGTAAAATTATAAATGTTTTAACAAATATTTAATTTTTGTTGTTGATAAAATCCAACAGGAAAAAAAAAAAAACTTTATGTATTTTCTGGAATTCTTTATACCCTGAGTACTCTTCCTTATTCTGTACTTGACTCACCAAGGACTTTTTTCCCCTTCGTTTTATGTATAATAACCTGAAGACAATCTACTCTAGTAAACAACTAAAATATTTATACAGAAAATAAAGAAAATTTTACATAGCGCTACTTCATATTTAGGCAATGGTCACTTATCTGGCAACCTCAACCATCTAAAAGATTCACCACAGCAAAGAAGAAAGACCAAAAAGACTTTCACAGAGCCAAAATATTTCACAAAGGCAAGAAACTGAAAATGATTCCACTTTTCCAACCGGAAAGCCTATAGAACCGTCTCACAGTACTGTTGTATCAATACTATATGTACATTGTGTTAGGGTCTTTACATCATTACTTCCTCAAAAACATATATCCCATTTCACAGGTAACACAAGTCTCAGAAGAGTCATGTATATACAAGTCAGAGCATGGAGTCATATCCAGGTTGGTCTGGCGGCTCCAAAGCCAGTGTTCCTTCCATTACATCACATTATCTGTAACTGACTTTCTTTTTCTAATAAGCCTTCCCTTAGCTTTCAATAATTCACTTTTGTATTATTCTTCACTAAGAAAATGTCACCACTAGTCCCAAATAAGCAGGGACA